TATATGGAATTTAGAAAGATGGTAACGATGACCCTATATGTGAGACAGCAAAAGAGACACAGATGTAAAGAACAGACTTTTGGACTCTGTGGGAGAAGGCAAGGGTGGGATGATTTGAGAGAATAACATTGAAACATGCATATTACCATATGTGAAATAGATCACCAGTCCAGGTTTGATGCATGAAACAGGGCACTCAAAGCCGATGAACTGGGACAACTCTGAGGGATGGGATAGGGAGGGAGGTGGGAAGGGTGTTCAGTATGTGGGACACATGTACACCCATGGTTGATTCATGTCAATGTATGGCAAAAATCACTGCAGTGTTGTAAGGTAATTAGCCTCCAATTAAAATAAATTAATTAATTAAAAACAGTAAATAGAACAAGGAAATTAAAATGGCACACAAGAAAACATCTATTTAAAACAAAAGAAGGCAATAGTGGAGGAAAACAACTCCCCCCTCAAAAAAGACACATATAGAAAACAAATATCAAAAGGTAGATGCAAATCCTATTTTATCAGTAAGTATAAACACTCCAGTAGATATTAGATTGGCATAATGGATTTTTTTAAGTTCCAGTTACAAACTTACTACAAGAGACAAACTTTAAATTCAAATACACAAAAAGGTTGAAAATACAAGGATGGAAAAAAATATACCACACAAAACAGTACTGAAATGTCTATACTAATATCAGACAAAATAGACTTTAAGAAAATCCTAAGGAATTCATACACATACAGAAACCCCAATGAGAACTAATAAACAAATTCAAGGTTATAGATTATAAGATTAATATACAAAAATCAATTGTATTTCTATACACTTGCAATAAACAAGCCAAAATATAAGTTAAGAAAGTGATTCTATTTACAATAGCATAAAAAAGAATGAAAGACTTAGGGATGAATTTATCAAAAGAACTGCCAGATGTACTCTCTGAAACTATATCAGACTGTTGAAGTAAATTTAAAAAGACCTAAATAAATGGAAAGACATTCTATGTTCATGAACTGGAAGACTCAATATTAATATGGCAATTATCCCCAAACTGAACCATAGATTCAACGCAGTCCCTATTACAATCCCAGCTAGCTTCTTTGCAGAAACTGACAAGCTTATTCTAAAATTCATATAGAAATTCAAGGGACTCAGAACAGCCAAAACAACCTTTAAAAAAGAGAACAAAGTTGGAAAACTCATCCTTCCCAATTTCAAAACTCACTACAAGAAGCTACAGTAGTCAACATAGTATAGTACTTCCATGAGGTAGACCTAGAGATCAATGAAACAGAAAACCCAGAAATAAACCCTTTATTTATAGGAAACTCATTTTTGACTAGGGTGTCAAGACAAGAGGGAAAAAGTGGTCTTTGTTACAAATAGTGCATGTACAACTAGATTTCACATGTGAAGGAATGAAATTGGGCCCCTACATCTCACAACATAGGGCAAAACATGGAGTAAACCTTTATGAACTTGTATTAAACAATGTTTTCTTAGATATGACAACAGAAGTACAAGAAACTAAAGAAAAAATAGATAAATTGGACTTCATCACAATTAAAACTTTTTTACTTCAAAGGACACCATTAAGAAAGCGAAAAGACAACTCACAGAATGGGAGAAAATATAAGCAAAGCACATATCTGAATGGAACTTTAATCAGAATATAAAGAATTCCTTGTATATTTATATATAACAAATATATAATATATACATATTTAATAAATATAAAAATGTCTGTATAATGAAAAGACAAATAATCCAATTAAATGGGCAAAGGATTTAAATACACATTTCTCCAAAGATGATGTACAAATAGCCAATAAGCATAAAGATGTTCAACATTAGCCACTAGGGAAATGCAAATCAAACCACAAAGATATTAGGCTGGCCAAAAAGTTCATTCCAGTTTTTCCATAAGATGTTACAGAAAAACTCAAAGTTTCTGGCCAACCCAAAAGCTTTGAGGTGTTGATTCTCAAATTCATTATGAATACAATAAGAAATTAATTTTCCATTTTGAATGAACAAAAAACTATATATTATACATGCCTAGTTAGTTCACTGTGGCTAAAAGGTTTACCTTAAGGAGGACAAAAGGAAAAACTGAATTATACAAGACTCTCAAGTTAGTGAAGAATCTAAGGTAAGATAGAAGCACAGTATAAAATTTTACATTTTCTCTTACCTGGTTTATTTTGATCATTTTCTTCAGGACTATGAGTATTACCTCTATAAGAGCTAAAAGGCTGGCTACTCAAAAGGTTATCACACTGTAGGCTGTGGCACAAGTTCTCGAGAAAGCGAAGAACAAATGATGCACTGTTAACTGGAGGCAGCTGGATGGAATGAACTTCCCCATCAAAAGCAGCTATTACAAGGGGAAAAAGGATGTCAGAGTCACATCATAGAAAGATGAGAACCATAACATCAACAAAAACAAAAGCCATCAATTTAGGAAATATAAGTCTAATGTGTGATTTTTGTAACTGATAAAGGAATAATCTTAAATCATATAAGTTAAGTTCCTCTCATTCAAACACAATAGTCTGAACTAAGAAAAGCATTCTCAGTTAAAAATATTCATAAAGTAAACAACAATACAAACCCACTGATCTACAATACTTTCTATTCTTCCAAACATTCCATGGGTACAAAAGCAGTATTTGATTACACAATCATGAAAGCCATATGTATCTTATCCTTTAATCACTTCTTGAATCACATTTTTATTTGAGATTCATATAGATCACTCTGTTTTCTAAAAAAATTAAAATATATTAATATAAAGCTCACTTTATCTATAGTGAGCTTAATAAAGAAGGTAAAAGGAAAAATCTTACCTCAATTTACAGTATTACTCTGACATTATTAGTCTATTTTGAAAGTTAAACTTTCCAAAACAGGGTTAAAAGTCTATAAGCATATAATTATTATAAATATTCTATACATTAACAAAATAAATATTCAAATATTATCATTAATAGAATAAAAATTTAGAAAATAATGTATGTATTTTATAAAATCTTTGCCTTCTTGAAACCTAAAATCCAATTAGAGAACAAAAGCTGATAAAGGATTAGATGGGCATACCGGTTATCACTTCTCCTCCACGATGATCTGGCTTAAGGAATCCAAAAACAGTCTTACTTTGAATGGCACAATCGACACAGGCCTGCACCGTCCGCCGGAGCACCACATTGACAGGGCCTGGGCCAAAGTGGTCTGGCAGCTGCTGGATTTTCTTCTGATCCAGGTGAGGGCCACAGTTTCCATGTTTGTTTATATACACACAGACTTGATGAAAAATGTGTATATAGATATAACAAACAATGAGATTGGTTAGAAGGAACATAAACACCACATAATCACTATATATCCCGTTAGCCACACTTCACTCAAAGAGAACCTAAACATAGTTAATATCAATGATCATTTCTGTTACCTAAAAATATGTAAAGATGGTTTTACATTGTGTAAATATATTAAACCTAGAAAGAAATAATCCAAAAGCTTCTTCAAATTTCTAGATTTCTTCCCAAACTAATTATAGAAACAATAGAAGTTATAGTAGCATCACAAAACAACTTTGCACATTCCCGTATTATATAAAAATGACTTAAAGACAAGAATATTTTCACTCTTTTACTGCAGTCACAGTGCAAGAATTTTCCTTCAAAATTGGTCATGTTACAACATTCCTTTCAGACTGAAATTATTTTAAATCAACAATACTGCATTTATCTATTACATAGTATTTTCTAAAGTAACCACATAATTTAAGATATGTGTCACAGTAAGTTCTAATGACCTGGAGAAATTTTTTCACTAATTTTAAGAAAATAAAAATGTTCTTTCTATACATGCTAAGGTTCACAAAAGAAAATTTTAAGAATAAATGCTTTCCTTAGTATAATAAAAGCATTTAGAATCTAGAAGTAAATACCCTATAATCACAATCAGTCAAGTTTCCATAATTTTTCTTCACTGAGAATCAAATTCTAATCAACATACAATGTAATATGATTATTACCAAAAATAAAACATATTGTCCCCCTAAATCAAAAGGCATGTTATTTTTCTCCACTGCTTTACTGCAAAATTTTCATCTGTACAAAGTCTGTACTTAGTACAATAAAAACCCATTAATCTCACTTTCACCATGTTGAAATATATGATAATTCTCAACTTTATGGCAACAGCCAGAGGAAGGATCAACCCCGTCATAGAAATATCACCTACTAAAAACAACCTGAGTACTGATGGCCTGGACAAAGTTCTACTGAGCACAAATGAGCTAAACAAGGATTTCAGTATTTATACTCATTTAGTCAGTCTCACCAACTAATGGACTAAAAATCAGAAATAATGAATTGACAAAATGAGAAACATAACAATAATTATTTTTAAAGTGATACCTATTTCAAGAAATTAAACTATAATTTCTTTTTAGTAAGAAAAGAAAAATCAAGGGGAAAAAAGTCCAGGGAAGAGAAGAATGTAAGAGAGAGATAATTAATAATCTAGGAGAGGAAGCCATAAAACTTGCTATAAAAAAAGGACAGGAATGAGGAAATCTGCAGAAGATGACAAAACAAAGGGATTAATTAGTTTAGGTGCCTGTCATTTCACACTATTTATGCAGCAAACAGCAATTTAAAGTCATCATGTCCATTGACAGGCAAGGATCTGTGAAAATTTTAAAAGGCATTTTTAAACAGGTTTGAACAATAATAGTGGGATACTTTAATACCCCACTCACACCTATGGATAGATCAACTAAACAAAAAATTAAAAAGGAAACACAAACTTTAAATGACACAATGGACCAGCTAGACCTAATTGATATCTATAGGACATTTCACCCCAAAACAATCAATTTCACCTTTTTCTCAAGTGCACACGGAACCTTCTCCAGAACAGATCACAGCCTGGGCCATAAGTCTAGCCTTGGTAAATTCAAAAACATGGAAATCATTCCAGTCATCTTTTCTGACCACAATGCTATAAGATTAGGTCTCAATTACAGGGAAAAAACTATTAAAAATTCCAACATATGGAGGCTAAATAACATGCTTCTGAATAACCAACAAATCACAGAAGAAATCAAAAAAGAAATCAAAATATGCATAGAAATGAATGAAAATGAAAACACAACAACCCAAAACCTATGGGACACTGTAAAAGCAGTGCTAAGGGGAAGATTCATAGCATTACAGGCCTACCTCAAGAAACAAGAAAAAAGTCAAATAAATAACCTAACTCTACACCTAAAGCAACTAGAGAAGGAAGAAATGAAGAACCCCAGGGTTAGTGGAAGGAAAGAAATCTTAAAAATTAGGGCAGAAATAAATGCAAAAGAAAC